AAAGCGCTCGGGTTATAGGGTTTTTATTCATTTCTTTTGACTTGATATGACATTGACAAGAAAAATATGGCCGCACCAATGTTCTTAAAGAAGAATCTGTACACGTCAGAAGGCCATTTCCTTCACGTCTATTACAGTAGGTCATTTCCTTCTCGAAATGGCAAGAGCACTTCTACATGTTTAAAGAATCTTATAGTTTGTTTATTATTATTTTTATCGTCAGGAAAATTTATCTAAACATTTTCCGCGAAGAAAATACATTTTCAACGGTTTGATTAAATCTCATATACTTCCAAATTGTCCCCCGCTGGGACAGCGGTAAGTATCCGGATATAAAACGCTAAAATCAGGGATTCTCTTCCCCTCGGCGGACACAGCAGGTAGCCTAATGTGGCTTCACTATAAAAAACCAAACAAACAATTTCCAAGTTATTTATACATAAATGTTCAACATATGCTTCATTGGAGCAGCGTCGTCTAACGGCTCGTGCTTTGGACCAGTAGTCGGAAGGTTGCGAGTTCGAGGCAAGCTTGCTCCATGTTGTTGGGTCCTCGGGCAAGACATTTTACCCCCAGTTACTTCAGCATACACAGCTGTATAATGGGTCACTGGGGGTTAAGCCGCAGTGGACTGACATCCCTTCCAGAAGAAATGTGTCACTATTCTCATTCCTCTGTGCAATTGAAACCACAGTTCAGCATAGGCCATCTTGGCATAAGGGGTGGGAGGTATTCAATTAATTAATCGGTTTCATTAGATCGATTCACAATTAAAGAAGAACAATAGTCAAGTATTCGAAAGCGCTCGAGATTTGGGTCTTTTATTGAAATTCATTGCACCCTTTATGTGTGATCCTGAATGCTAATGCTTTTATCAGAAGAGATGGCCCATATATTTTACATGCGTTAAAGAAATGCCGATACATTCTCCACTATCTTTCCGTGTTAGTTCATTCCCGAATCTGTTGGAATGTGGTGTAAAACTCCACTACCCCAGAAATCAAAATCACTCCCCTTGACCTTTCCCGAGCACACGATATTCAACTCTAATGGTTTTAGTAAATTGTTTTCATTGGTTAAAAAAATGTATTGTGACCGAAAACAGGCTAAGTAAGTTATACCAGTTGGCACTGTTCTGGGAGTGATAATTACACACATAAACTATTGACAAAAATCACTTTTCAAAAACCGGATATTAGGTAGCACGTAACCAATGTCTGTGGATCTCATGACGTAATGTAAATATATATATACGTTTATTTTGTTTAAAAATGTAAAATTGGTGATCTTGACACATTGATCACAAAGATCACATTCGAGTCATAAAAGTTTTTTTTTTGTTTTGTTTTGTTGTTAAGCTCAAAGCTACAAAATGGGCTATCTGTGTTCTGCCAACCGCAGGTATCAAAACCCAATTTTTAGCGTTATGAACCTAAAGACTTATCACTGAGACACCGGGGAAAAATGGGTCTCTTCGTCATATACTAAAAATAATGTTTACATTTTCTTTCAGTTTAAATTATAAATTTAAAACAACATACGATTTTTTTACATTTAAAACTCAGCTTCCGGAAGGTGGATATTAATGCTCATATATATTATGTATACACAGTGAGACCTCGTTAGTCCGGACATGGACAATCCGAATGATTTCTCAAGTTGACATTTTTTCACAACGAGGAATTTAATCAATAATCCGTATATTCGCGTTCCTCATCCGAACATCTGTTTGTTATAACAGATATGCACTTCCTATAGATATATGATTCAGTAATCCATACAAAAGCCAAGTAGAGGTCAATAATGCTTGAAGACGGCCTGAATGGGTAATGAAGAAAAATTTAATATAAGTTTAACATAACAGCAAATGTACAACGTTTCGACAAGGTTTTGTCATCATCAGGTTCTTCAATATCCATTCAAGCCGTCTCCAAGCATTATTAGTCTCAAAGTGGGCTCCTCGTCATCGAATTTGAAATTGAAATAGAGGTCAATCAGAACACGAAAGGAGGAGTAATTACTCACCACAGAACTCTCGTAGTGGATACCAGTTTATGATCACTTTTCTGAGAATGACCTCCACTCCAATGGATATTGGTTTACGATAATTTTTCTAAGAACGATCTTCCACCGTATGGGTGTACGTATAAACTATCATAGATGTCAAATATGTCATCAGACTGATTTATGCCAAGTCACAGTGCTCTAAAACAGAAACACCAGCTGTATTAAACAGGATGTTTATTTATACAAGAAAGCTGTGCATTATGTGTTTTGTATTCTATAAGTTAGTCATTGTTTTGAACAGAACTATGTTTCACGTGATGTAAATGACGTAATATAAAACTTTGGTTAAACAACTAGTACAATTATCGACGACGTATGAAGTAACAAACTGGTAAGTTTATTGTACGTACATTTACTTTACGTTTGCCAGTTTCTTGCTTACGCTTACTATTCGCCACCCTTACTTTATCGCATGGTATCAATCAAGGGCGCCCGCAGAAAAAAAAAATTAGAGGGGGGGGTAAGTAACTCAAGTTTGAAAAAAATATGAAATATAAATACAAATACCTTATGGTTTTCAAATAACATAGAAGGAGAATTTTACATATATATTAATTTTTCTTTTTAAAACCCGGGGGGGGGTCAAGTGGCCCCCTTGCCCCTTCCTGCGGGCGCCCATGATATCAGTAGAGTATTCACGATATTCAAAGTGACTGATTCAACCATCCGCAAGTGTCGACAATCCGGAAAAACCTCTTCATTAGAAAGATGTCCGGATTAATGAGGTTTCACTGTAGTTTCAAACAGAGTAACACATACTGGTGCTATTTTTATGACAATGTTACTTGATTCGATGTTGCCTAAGTGTGCATTTGACCAGTCTTGCGGAAAGACAAGTTTCAAAATTTCCAAAGAAAGCGTGTACGTAAAAGTCAAGGTACTTGTATTTTTCCCCACAATTCAAACACATGATTTTTCACGTGTTTTCCATTTTAGTCCAAGTCAAGGAAGGATCAAGTGCACTTGGCTCATTATTGGACAAACTTGATGTCACGTGATTCGCTATCACACTATAGCGACGATTGTTTGTTACGTGAAATTTATAAAAAAATGGGAAGAAAAATGAGGAAACTAAGTGTTTAGTATCAAATTTCAATCAAACGTGACATAAATGTGAATGTAATGACGGCTGTTACCAAAGTAGTAAGTTATTTAAATTACAAGTATCAAAATATTCTTGACTAGCATTTCCATCATGGTCAAGGTTAAGCAGGAAGCCTTGCATTCCTAAGTGTTAAGAAACCACTATATCGTAAAAATCTGATATACCAGTCTTCATACTTTCTGTCAGAAGATCTTGTGGTGCATTTGTCAAATTTTACTACTTTACCAATCTGTGTACTGCTATTTAAAGTGTTAGTAAGAATTTGTAGTGTTGCGTCATC